TATCTATCTATCTATCTATCTATCTATCTATCTATCTATCTATCTATCTATCTATCTGTTAATCCATCTATCTGTCTGTCTGTTTGTCCTAATCTCAAAACCTTTTTACGCAGTTTACCTATAACAAAACCAAACTGGCTAAACAGTGTGCATGTGATTCCTGTACTGCATCAGTACATCCATCCCTCTGTTGAGTGTGAGGACAGTTACAGTATTATCAGTCTGGACAAGAGTCCCATCTAGGGGTCAGTGGACTCATACAGCTACAGGACAAACTGAGATTCGCATCGTGTGTCGCATGCATTCAGCTCCAGCATTCTTTAGTTTAAGACTTTTGATGATTGATATCATAGCTTACAAGAAAATCAGTTTTCTAATTAAATATGCTTAATCTTGAACTTGAACTGCAGGTGCATCTTGAACTTCACTAACAGAAGAGGAATGTAAAGCATTAATGGTCAGCAAGTAATAGCTCTAAAATAGCTCTCTCTTCAACTGGAAAGCATGTATAGACCGAGCACAGCACAGTTACAGTTTCTTCTAATGGAAGAACGACAAGGAAACAAACAGGGTTAAGAGCCAGGCATATTACACTTGATTTTACAGTATACGTACATATTACACACACACACACACACACGTATTCATATATACAGTGTGTGCCTATTGTCTTTTCTTTTTCTTTTCTATATCACAATGACACTGTACTGTAATTTGACTTATGCGGTCAGAGCACCAGTAAAAGTGTAACTGTGTATCCTATCCAGTCTCCTCTTCTATTCTATTCCATCTAAATACCACAACTGTACATACAATTTTTTTTCAATTTCTGTTTATACACATATGTGACCCTGGACCACAAAACCAGTCATAAGGGTGAAATAAATAGCTTTCCATTGATGTATGGTTTGTTAGGATAGGACAGTATTTGGCTGAAATACAACTATTTGAAAATCTGGAATCTGAGGGTGCAAAAAAATCAAAATATTGAGAAAATCATCTTTAAAGTTGTCCAAATGAAGTTCTTAGCAATGCATATTACTAATCAAAAATTAAGCTTCATTCTGAGAGATGAACTAAGTATTTTGACAGGCTTTTTGCAGGGCGCTGTTTGTACAAACTGTTTCGAGAAATGGTTCATTTGCAAATGTTAAGGATGACAGGAAAACTGTAAATTCTTTATGAAACCACTAGAGGGCGCACAACACCCAAAAACATCACATCAGTGTTTATACGAGAAACAGAAGATATTTAATGCTTTTTTTTCCAGCTGTGCTGAGTCACAATGAGCTAAAGTTCCCTCTAGACTGTGTAGTGTTTGCTTTTGAGACAGATGCGTTAGTGTTGCTGTAGTGTGCTTCAGTCAGCTTGATGTTCTCAGGGTTTACAGAGCAGCAGAACCACCAGCAGTATTGCTCCAGAGCAGACGAGATGTCTAATGTTTCAGCTGCCCTTCACTTAATTCAGTTCTGCTAAAGACACACAAGAGCAGAAAGCATGTTGTGGGCATTAAGGAAGAATAATGGAGGTAATGAACACTGGGATCTCTAAGGCACGCAGGCCTGTCTGTGCTCATCTTCTCTTGGCTCTGGAGCAGATGAGCTGTTCCAGCATGAGGAACGGGTTTTAATGCGTGTAATGAGATCTCATTCATCACAATCGGTTACACTCTCTGCTGGCTCAGGAGCTTTACCTTTTTTCATGAGTTCTGTTGTTTATTGACGGATCCTCTGTGAACATGACAGACGCATTTTCATTAAGAACCGTAGGCCTTATATACATATATACACAGGCCTTTCCTTAAATGCTCTTCAACACTGACAGATCCGTGACAACAAAGATCCTGTATGAATATGATGCTATGTACGTGCCTGAAGGCATAAATGCAAATTAATGTCTAGTAAGCAGTGTTCTCTTCCTATCGGCTATAATAATGCAAATGTGTGTGTGTGGTTTTGTCTGCAATGTACGCAAGCATCGTAAAATCTAAAATCACCTACATTAATCGTTCAATGGCTCCACAAGAAAAAAGGCTTCATAAACCCAGATAGCACACGTACATCTACAAGAGATCGCTTCATCTGGAAAGCATGTGCTGTACAAACATCTGACATGCATTCTAAATCATAAACATCTTCTAAACGTCTATTTGACATCTGATAGGAAACGTCCAATAGATGCGTTGCAGATGAGCAAAAATGTCTGTAAATGCAGTCATCAAATAGACGTCTCCGTGATGTCCGTGTGCTATCAGGGAAGTCTTAATGTAAATCTAAATAAGCAAGCGTTTATGTTTAGAGGTGGGGACAGTCACAATAGAATTTGCTCACTATAAAAACAATAAAAGGCAAAGTAAAGCCTTTTCCATCCTAGAAAAATGGACATGTTTGCATGTCTGACCTCCTGAAGCATCAAACGTTCTTCCAGTAACGTAAAAAGTTATTTGGCCTTTAATGACATTCTCAAAATGTGAATTGCACATTATACATTTTTCATCTAACTTTTCGCAAACATTAATACTTACAGTTTCAAATGGTTCAAAGAACATTTAAAAGTAGCTTGCCATAAATGATAACCTGTAACGTTCCCTCAATGTTTTCAGTAACATTCACACAACCAATAATTTTTTTTTTTTTTAAATGGAGAGCATTTAGAAATAATGTTTTCATTCAACACTAATTCTAGCAAAACGTTCTTTTGGGAAACTTTTGGGTCAAGAAAGTAGGTAAATAGGAGGGAAAACTAATTTTATGGATGCCGTTAGGCAAGGTTAGTTCTTCGGGAACGTTATTAGAACATCTGGTCAACGTATAACGTTCTCAAAACATGAATTAGCCCATCCATCAGTCATGCAACGCTCTTCTGAAACATTTTAGTTGGACGTTGGTCTAACTTTCTGTAAATGTAAATACATGCTTCAGAAAACATTCAAAAGTAACTTTCCCATAATGATAGAACTCCCAAAATGTTAGGTAAATAGGAGGGAAACTCATTTTGTGGATGTATTTGGTGCATTACAAAAAAATGCTAAATTCTAAATTGTTATTTAGATAGAAGTAGACGCGTGCATATGTGCGGCCGTGCCAGAAACGCACACAGAGTGGGCGGCCTCTCGAGCCATGACAGCCTCATGCTGTCTGTCTGTCTGTCTGTACTGTACTGTACCGAGGGGGAGAGGGTAAGCCGAAACGGACGTCACACGCGCTCCCCGGGGGAGGAGGCTCAGGAACCGGGCAGTTTATCCGCTGGCCGTCGATGCAGTGCGCTCCGTTTCGTCCGTGCGTGCGCGTATGAGCGTGTGTCTGAGTTGCATGCAAGAACAAAAGCGCAGCAGAGAAAAGCAGCCACATCCTCCTCTAGGCAAAAGGAAGAGCTCCGTTTAAAAGCGATGAAGCGTTTATGCGGCAATCTCACATTCTGGGTAAGTTCTCATCAACTCTCGCATACTGAAAACATCCGTGCCGCGAGCTTTGGATGTGTTTAGCGTTGTATGCATGCATAAGAAGCTCTGTTTCCTTGACACGCATTAAACTGCATCAGCCAAGCGAGTCTTTTAAGCCGCGGTGTAACGCAGAAGCTACATGTAACGCGTAACGAACGTAACGCAGCTGTTATAAATAATAACAGACCTGCCCTTAACTAATGTCACTGTGACTTAGAAGTAATAGTCGTGCAAATAAAATCACTAATCTTACCAGCTAACAAAAATATGTTCTAAGAACGTTTAGCTAATGTTCTCATTGAACGTTCAAAACGTCCAGTTTTTTGTAAATGTTTAAAAAGCATTTTTTTTTTAAATCATTTTGCAAAATGATACACTCTAAAAAATGCTGGGTTGTTTTAACCCAACTTTGGGTCAAATATGGACTAACCCAACTTTTGGGTTAAAAATGTAATTGAAAATTTTAACCCAACAGTTGGGTTAAAACAACCCAGCATTTTTTAGAGTGTAGTAAAGAATGTTATGTTGAATGTTTAAATTTTATGTAAATAGAAGGGAAAACTAATCTTGTGGATGCTTTTATAAAATGGTCAATTTTTGCATGTACAAGGACTAAACTACTGTAATTAAAATTAAATGCTCAGAGCGTCATCTAATGTTCTGGCAAGTTTATCTCAAAGTTAGTTCCTCCAAAACCTTAGTACATTATTCAGAGATTTTTCATTGAACGTTTTCCTGAAACATTTTAGTCTAACTTTTTTTTAAAGCATTTCCTAATGTTTGCAAAATTATAAAATAGAACGTTCCCTTAACGTTTACTCTAACGTTCACATATAAAACATTTTTAAACATTCAAAAACATTCAGAAATAGCGTAAAGTTAAAGTTAGATGAACGCCCAACTAAAATGTTTCAGAAAAACGTTCCATGAATGATGTATACAAATGTTAGGGCTGCAACAAAAGATTATTCTGAGATTATTGCAATGATTAATCGACTAATCGTTGATTATTTCACCAGTTAATCAGTAGGCTTTATTCTATTATTCTGCTTTTACAATTAGGTAAAATACTGAGTTTATTATTTTTTACAATACAAATATTTGGCTGTGTGAAGAAATAACTGACTGACTGAATGAGGCATCATTCTGCCTAACATCTCCTTCTGTAAGTCATATATGGAATAAAATAAAGTGCTAAGACATTTTATTTTCATAAATTATTTTATTCACAACATTAGCTCTCTTAAAACACCGTATAGGGTTATGATAATCAAAACAGTCCTGAGCTAGATCAAGCTTTAATCTATGCAAACCAAACTTTCACTTTGGTGAAATGATTTTTATTTATTAGTATTTATTTATTTATTTGTGCATTCACTAATAAAAAGATTCTATCATTAACTAGCTCCACACTGGACAGCTGCTTTATAGCAGAAACTCAAGTTGTAATTCTGACTGAATGCGTGATTGACCCTGTTTTTTCTTGTTTAATACTGTAAAGCTGCGTGCTTTAAATCAATCTATTGTATAAAGCTCTATATATAAATAAACGTGACGTCACTGGAGAGTCGATTGCAGAGCTGGTGCAAACTTATCCACATCGCTATGATCAGATGCTTTCTTAACTGCTGTTTTCTCACCGCTGGCCAAACCGCATTATTGCAGGCTCTTACATGAGGTCATATGACTATTCAACAGCATTTTTTTATTGATAGTGTCGACTAATCGTTTCAGCCCTAGTGCTAATGTTTTGAGAACGTTCCCTGTTAGCTGGGTTATCTTTCACATGCCACAGATTCACTGCTTCGCCGTGTTGCAAGATGAAACATGCAAGTTGTCATCATGATGAATCATTTTTTTCAGAGTTGGATCATTTTAATCACAACATTGCTTACGAATTACTAAACGGAATCGGTTCATCGGTTCATGGAGTCAGCAGCTCAGTGATTCGTTGAACTGAACATCAGACATGCTCGACTCATAGTGATTTTGAGTGAATCGAGTATTTGAATCCGAGGATTGAATCTGAATCACTGTCGGGGCGACTTTAATACTTGAACAGAACAATGCACAAATAAAACCTACTGGAATATGCTTAAGAACTGTATCTTATGTACACATTTGAAACACACATATATATATAGCCTTTTCTAAACACATGCAAAAACATTGAGAATGAAATTATTTTAGCATTGCAAATGTATGTAAATTAAGTTACACTTAGCTTGAAAATTTCTGATACTTTGTTTCATGAGCTGAGTGATGCTGCAACTGACACATATGAGATTTCAATAAATGCCTATATTAATAGTGTTAATACAATATATTGATATGCATCTGCAAATGACTTTATATGAACATTTTAGAGCCCGCAATGAGATTCTAGGGACCGATGTGTTCACAAACAGACAGTGAATCATGTTTTTGAACTGGCTCTTTGAAATGAAGTGATTCAGAGAAACGAGTCAGACTTCACATCACGTTCTGCAGCCTCCATTAACAGTAATGGCATGTTTTTCTCCAAATGGTGTGACATTTTGCTCACCTCTGGCCTGGGTTCATGGTGGTTTATTCGGGGTCGGGCCGCGTCACAGCTTCTGAGAGAAATGTCTGTTGTTTATGAGGTTATTGGAGGTAATAGCATCCGTGTGCGTGGCCTAGTTAGCCAGACAGACACAGTGAAGGCTTATTCTCAGGGTCATTAGACTCTCCGAGGGGCCCGTACAGTCAGTCAGTCAGCATTACACACGATCAACACTATGTAGGTTAAGAAGAAACACAAAGGGCTGGAACTTTCCTCGGTTTGGAAATGTCAGTCACTGATCAAAATATGATGCGCCAGTGCAAAAATCAATTATTTTTTTCATTTTCATTCATGCTGCTGCAACCTCCTGCTTCTCACAAAATGTGTTTGTCTTCACTGCAACCTAATATGAGATAAAAAGTCATGCCAAATATTCTCGCAAGAGGTTTCAATAGACCAAAATATATTTTTCCATTACTTTTTATATGTTATAATAACATTAAAAAGTATACTTGAAGCTTTTATATATAATGCAATAAACAATATGTTTAATACATGAATTATTTCTTATAATGCATTGTATGAAAAAATATAAACACATTTATAATCCATGATAACAGTTATTGTTACACCTTTAGAAGGTATAATGCATTTAAACACAACGTACAACCAGTTTCAGAAGAAATCTGCAAATATTATTTTGCATTTGAACTTTGGTTACAGTGATTATTAATGAAACTATACAATGCATTATACATAAAGTGTTACCATATTAATAAACATACTTATCATCGATATCATTAATATGCCACATTTAGAAAAAATAAACAAATATATGTGTCCCTGGAGCACAAAAGCAGTGTTAAGTCGCTGGGGTATATTTGTAGCAATAGCCAACAATACATTGTATGGGTCACAATTATCCATTTTTCTTTTATGCCAAAAATCATTAGGATATTAAGTAAAGATCATGTTCCATGAAGATATTTAGTAAATTTCCTACCGTAAATATATCAAAACTTAATTTTTGATTAGTAATATGCATTGCTAAGAAGTTCATTTGGACAACTTTAAAGATGATTTTCTCAATATTTAGATTTTTTTGCACCCTCAGATTCCAGATTTTCAAATAGTTGCATCTCAGCCAAATATTGTCCTATCCTAACAAACCATACATCAATGGAAAGCTATTTATTCAGCTTTCAGATGATACATACATCTCAATTTCAAAAAATTGACCCTTATGACTGGTTTTGTGCTCCAGGGTCAGATATAGAATATTTTTCAAGAAAATCCAATCTGATTGGTAATGATATTATGAATTATCATCATCTTTACCGCGTCTCAAGAATCAGTTTCCTGTGGCTAAAGTGATCTGGAGAGACGGAGGAAGCTTGAGGCTGGTGTTGTGAAATTATTCTGCATTTACTGCAACACAACAGAATATGTCAAAAAAAATATTCTCAGTTCTGTAACTTCCCTTTAATGTTCTTATTAAATCACATTTAATTTCCAGGTTTTATTTTTTAGGTTTAAATCACAATATTTAGCTGTTGGATCGCACTCTTCTTGAAACCTGCAGGAATATTTAATGCAAGTAATTTTAAGTTTTGAGATAAGGGAGAATATTTGGTCATACATCATAGATTTAATCACTGTATTGTTGCTATTAAGCCATCGATTTGAGTCCACTGATACTTTCCTCATCTAAGGTCTGTATTACAAAGCTAATGGGATGCCGTCATTAAATACTGAGATGTGCATTAGTCACTGTCATATTATACAGTTTCATCATTTTTTTGCATGCAGCTGTTCTTATGAATCCTGTGTGGCACTCGGTGTCGACTGTAGCTGGTCTTACTGTATAGATTGAGACGCCGCAGTCTGGCTGCATTCAGATCACTCAGATTTAGATTAGTTTTGCTCAGAAGCTGCGGGTCACGTAAGGTAACGGCAGACTCTCTGTGTGTCAGCAGCTCCTCTGTGCATCTCATTGATGCGGCTCTTTTGCATGAGACACAGTGAAACACATTTCTCTCCCACTCCTTTTTTATCTCCGTTTCTCCTGCTTGCTCTACATTCTGTGTAGCACACACTGCTCGTGTCCTCAAATGTCCTCGAACGTCTTCATTCGTTCCGGCAGCCATTGCAGAACAGCGCCACTGCTCTGTTTATATGAGGGACAGCAAAGCCACTAAAGAAAGCTGCTGTTGTATAGCAGAGATAATTGCTGCAGTGCGGAATATGTTTCCAAGGCATCAATTGGAGATGTCAGGATCTGAAATAGAATAAAAAGCAGCTCGTCTGTCCACACTGAACGTGAAACTGCTGCATGATGTGAAATAATTGCAGTCAATCAGGAGATTTTTTTATGGTGAATGTGTGATAAGCATAAGAATTCTGGGCCAATCAGGTTGCTGGTAATTATTTTAGATATTAAACATATTTTAGATAT